CTCACATGTTTAAGTCGAATTTTTGCTCGAATGTTTCGAACCAATTTGTGGTCCTTAATCATGAGATTCCGCGGCGGTGACTCGACGGAAACCAATTCCTTTTTGATGCGTTATCCGTTATTTTAGTTAATATCTCTGAGCCTCACGGTGGTTTTCCATTCAAACTATCAAAAACAACTCTTTAGGTACCATTATCACAAAACTATGATCATATTAGTTAACGCGCCTTTTACCTAACAGCATTCGTCGTAAATGTCCTTTGTAAATTTACTCAAATTTATAGCTTTTATGACAGTTGCCTTCAGACGCTTCAGATATTATGAGTCGGAATGGCAAAGTATGCGAGGCCACATCATTTCTCTGGCATCTCTTTATTAATAGCTAAGACCTTGGCGTATTCCTGTTGCAAATATGAAAACATTCGTCTCGGTATGCAGGTAACTATTTCTACTCAATTATCTATTGTAGTTCAGACTACAATCTATCTTTTCCTCCACGATGTGTGAATGCTTTATTACATTCATTGAGAAATTTAGGCGTCGCTTTCTCTTACGTCGTTTAATTCTTCTATAACACTCTACCACTAGATATAATAAAGGCACATGTGTTCATACGTCTAGTATTTGTTTCATATTTTGAACGAGATTGTACTTTATTATGCAAGTCGAGCAAATTTGCCTACATGGTGTTAATACTGATTGAATATGACCATCAATACAAGCAACTCTCATTGGTCATATAAGTATGACAGGCTAGTATGACCACCAATAAACGGCCGTATTTTATCACATCGACCCTGGAAAACGTCTAACGTACATTTGGAAAATATGACAACCTCAAATAGCTTTGATTGATTCTGCATAACAGTGAAAGTGTTGAATCAATTGCTTTGGAAAAAACATATAGTAAAATTGAGGATATATATACACTGATCTATATGGTGTAAGAACACGATTCCAAAAAATTTTCACGATAGAAAAAAAACACAAACTTACCTCGTACATTTTACAAAAAAATGCTGTATTCAATGGTACTTTACATATACCAGTGATTTTTTTTAATGTCAACTGAAATAAAGAGAACACGTATAGTATATATAGTATAGAGGGATGTATAGTATATATACTATACATTCCTGCCGGTCGACCCAAGCAAAATGAATCGTATTAGTACGGGAAAAAGTTTTATTGGAGCTAAGGTAGTATCGACTATTAAGAAAAAAAATCTTAACTTTAATTTTATTTGTTATATGGAAAAGTTGAGTTTTTAGTTATAACAAAGTTTAGTTAGTGCAAAAGAAATTGATAAAAAATCTCTGTTTTCGCACAAGAATTAAATATATTGACTACAACACCTCTTGTAATGTTTTTGGGGTTCCATCTCTGCGCAATAGAAGAAATTATATTGATTCGTGTGTTTTATACAAACTGTTAAATAATTATATTGACTCGCCAGAACTACTACAAAAAAATTCATTTAAGAGTTCCAGTTCGCACCTACTTGCGTTCTAAAGCCACCTTTTCATGCAAATTTAGTAGAACAAATTATTCTAAAAATGGTTTCTTTAGACGCTCTCTGGGATTTTTATAACAAAAACTTAAATAATATTGATATTTTTGGGTTAACCTTACAAAGTTTTAAGAAGAAAGTAAGAGAAGTAGTTTTTTAAGTTTATAAGTTTACCTATTTATTGTTAATTTTTCAAAAAATTTTATAAGCATTTTTATTTATCAGGTATTGTTATTTTATGACATGTTATTAATAATTCTTATGTTTTGTAGTTGAGCCGTATATGCTCACTATTTCTTGTTTATATTTGTGGAACTCTAGGTCTAATTATTTTAATCAATGTTTTAGTAGAACCCCGGTTTTATGACTGTTTGTTTCCCTGAATAAATAAAAATAAAAAAATAAAAAAAAACAAATAAAAAAAGAGTTATCATTACTTTTTCCTTAAAAAAATTACTATATAAATCGCTCTTCTGTAATATTTTCCAAATACACATTCCAAACTCATAAAAATAATACGAATTACATGAAACAAATGATGCATCATGTGAAATTCTATAACTCTCCTATTGACTTCGACCTAGGTGGCCTCGATTTCCGGACTCGATTTCCGGTGGGACCAATTTGAGAAATGAACCTTTCTAAATTTGTTCTGATCTGAATGCTCTGGGAAGCGCCCCAGAATTCCGTTCCTCTGGTACTCATAATACACGGAATTCCCTAATTTGAGACCAGGCACTTGGTGGGGGTTGTCTGGCACATATTATTATTCTATATTAATTAAGTTCGTAGAATCTTTAAGCTTCTCTCCTGAAAAATTATCATTTTGCAGATATAGCCTCATTACACCAATGGTAATATATTCATAATATGCCTCGGCGATTAGTAGCCATATTTACAAGTACTTAATACTACAGTTTTCGTGCTGCTAGGTGTGTCGAACACATCACAAAGGACATAAATCTAAAAATAAACAGTTATTACCAAAATGTTATTGAGTCGTATACCCAGGCACACATCATAAACTTCAGCGCTGCCAGCAAAGTTTGGCGAAGAGACCAAAATAAGGGAACAAGGCTAAAATATACATCTATAAATACACTCTTGCCTTTGAACAGAATCCAAATGTCTGTAAAACAATAAATATAAGAGCCACGTAAAGTGAAATATTCATTCTCCAGTTGTGGCAACGAAACAACGGAAGTAGCTTTGTCATGCGAAAAACTTTCGTGTGTTTTGATGGTTATTTTTGCTTTATTACTGATGTGTCATACATTATACCTTCTATTTTAAGGTTTTAAAACCTTGTTTTCATTTTATAAATTATTTTTTATTTCTTTAACTGAGGAAACGATTGCTCATTGCCGTGTTCCACAGGGATCACGTCTGAAATCTCTTTTGTTTACAAAATCAAAAACTTTCCTCAAACATTATAACTCTTATATTATTTATTAAAAGACGAGAATTAATGCTGTATTCTTTAAAGACGTTGATGAAAATACATCCTGTACGTCAAACACAAAAATGAGTTACGTCCAAAATCTAATTAGGTAGAGATAGGAATATACACGTGTAGGTGTGGTAATTAGTGAAAACATTAAACTTGAGTCATATGCCTTTACAGACGCCAAATTACGATCAGGTGTGTTCTAGAATTATATTTAGTTTGACGAATTCAATTCTGTACCGTAAGTTTCTTAACAGAGTTGTTGTTTTTGAGAACTTGCAAATTCTTTACCGCTCATCAAAAGCGGACGAGGAATGCGAAGTTAGCTGGCACAAAACCAAGACCAACATTATTGCGTTTAACCTTAGAAGTCAATTAAAATAAACAGACATTAGCCATACTTGAGGCATGTTAACTGATACGTTATTCTGCCAGACCAAAAACTTACATTAACAGCACACTTAGTTAAGAGAGGCCATCAATTAATTTTGTTGGCGAAGCATCATGGAATGAGATTGCTAAATGCTACGACAAGTCGTAGAAATCTCATATACGCGTGCTTGATCATTTCAGAATAAATTTAACAATCTGCTGCAAAGTTTTTCATAGAATTTTTGATAATAAAGACGCATGAAAGAATGGATCTAACGAAATGCATGACAAACGTTGAAGAAACTAAATACAGCTGATTTTAGATTTGTAAAAAAAAAAATTTTAAACACAGGGAACAGAAACTTACATTACTCCACTCTCAAATGCATAACTTTATTTTCGAACTGGTTTCGTTGGTTTAACTAGTTGTACTGAATTTCATGGTTCTATCACATCCTATCCATGATCCTTCTGTCAGTATAATAAGGACCCGAAGTAATGATACAGTAACACGGTGATGTCCCTAACATTACCTTTCATAGGATCGACTAAATACAATCTGAAATTGTATATAACGTCATTGCTCGAAAGAACAAAATCTATAAATTACTGAAACAAAACATTGTGTGATCCGAGATCGTGTGATCCATCAGCGATTTGGCATCGTTACATCACCAGTGCGGAATGAGGAAGCGATCACCTTGTTTGCATTACACCGCTCATTGTAAGCGAACGAAGGTGGCTACATGTTACTTTTTCCTTATCGCAACAATTTCTATGTTTTAAATTATCAGCCACAGATCAAGGTCAACCCAATTAATTTCTCTCAAAAGCCTTAAGCACGTGTAAAATTTTACACTGCCGTGATTAAGTTAAATATAACGGGTTGTCTTCGATTTTCACTAATGCTTATTCATAATGTTCCAAATAATATATAGCATTCTTAAATGAGCAGCATTCCCTGTCAGCACTGGCAACTCATTTCGCGTGATTCCCGCGCGATGTATTTTGGGCCGCGCGGCCAGCTCAATGCCACGGGGCCAACAACTCCGCTTCAATGGATTACTCATTACTACAACGCAATTAGATAATACTACACATAATATTATCAATTTCTTTCCTTTATCTAATATGCACTAGACGACGGCATGGTCGTTTCTTTTTCTTTGTTCCTTTACAGTGGGCTAAAGATTAGGTTTGATAATCCATCTCGTGACTTGGATTGTTGTGCTACGCAATAGGCACTATGTTGTCTATATTACGAATGATAGAATCAAATATCATTAGACCTTTTGTTTTGGGAAGACAGGAATATTCTTTACTGAAGTATTTATATCACAAAAATGTTTATAATCTCCAACTCCTTCAACTTCAGTCGAAAGAATTCTGTTGTGTTTTGCGCCAGCTGACAGTCTGTTAGCAATTTTATTACTTCATTTAGATTCTTTATACTATCGTATACGAATGGTTAAACTTTCAGTTTTACACTATATGGTATAAAATATGTACTAACGTTAATTATATCTAAAGTAAAACAAAATAATACAATTCCTATCTTATTTATTTTTGGTCCCTTTATAAATTAATACATTTATAACCGTCAAATTAAAATAACAACATGATTATAACATTAATTATCACATTTCTATCTAGATCCATTATACACACACATGGTCATTTCTATTTTGCCATATTTCTAATTTCCTTAACAGTTTTGTGAATTCGACAAGTTAGACAGTACGATTATAAGGTTAGAAATAAATATGTAATCTTTATCATTCAATTCTACTCTGATATGTTCATTTTAAATCCACTAACATTTATAATAGCCAGAACAAGGTTGACTGAAGCTTTGATTACCTAACAACAAAAGATATTCAGTCAGATTTTTAATTATCATAATCCATTTGCTCGATTTTTACTCCTCATGGCATTCTTCCACTCAGTCTTATTTTTAATTATCACTTTCTTTCTTACAAACAAACGCATCATTATGCACATTATTAATTACTTATCTTACTTATAAATCTAGCATAAAATTTAGCTCAGCTCTTTTCAATAGGTCCATATCTCTGTCTGAACCACATCATTCCTCTGTAGTCCGGTTCGTAAACATCTGGAATCTCTTTGTCGATGGCTTCGCAGTAAACCATTTTCACAGACGCTTCTCCGAATAACCTCTCTTCATATTTGATGAGTTGCTTGAAGAATCCGGTGTTCGGTCGAATTTGGGGACTGAAAATAAAATTACAATGTATTTTCTATGTAAAGTTTACAATAAAAACATGAAGAGAATAACCACGTTTTATGTTAAAACATTCTATTTTAAAATCAATGAATATCTTACCGTCGTTGTTTCATGTGGTGATAAGCATCACTAAGGGTCATTTTCTCCCATTTGACAAGGTAAGCAAGGCATAAGGTGACTGATCGTGATACTCCAGCTACACAGTGTACCAACACCTTTTCTCCTCTTGAGACAACCTGTCAAAAGTAAAAAATTTTATTAATTACGAAGCATGAAAAACGAAAACCAAATAAGACACGTTAAATGAACTCGGAATCTGTTCCTATAAACCAGAGATTTCTTGCTATATATTTACATATAAAGTCTATAAAATTACATTTCAGATCAAAGTACAATTTGTGGCTACCTTGGCAAACCGCTATTTGTTTTCTCTTTAGCTGTAGTTAATTTGTTATTGCTTTAGTTATCTTAGGAAGATCAATGACACCATAAAGAAAATTGTATAGAAAATGTTCGTCAAATGTGTGAATTTGGTCAAGAAAATTTAAAAATGTTCGTTTCAAGATAGTTACAAATAGTTTTTGAATGGTAGATTGTTTTGTCATTGAGAGGTATCGTGTACAAATTATAGTCTGAAGCCTTTCAGATGCGTACAAACTTAGTAAGCTATTAAAAAAAAACCGAATACCGTCATAATTTTAACTTACCTCATTGATCAGGTCAGCCACTCGATCCATAAATGGATGCATATCGGAGCTGGGAGTGTCTAGAAGCGGAACATAGTGTCTGGGAACGCAGTCTTCTGGTGGAGGAGGAAGCTCGGGTGCTACGTTGACGACGAGACCTGGTCTGAGTGCTTTCACTGCACCAGGCAGCGCGTGCGCACCACATACATAGAGACAGTTGGTAACGCGGGAAACACCGAGAGGACAGCCTCTGTAGAAGAAAATTAGCAGTTAGGGTATGGATAAATTGTTCAAGGTTTATTACTAAAATCAAATAGAGGTAATGAGTCTACTAAGTTGGACCAATTTTTTTCGGCACAATCGATGAAACTAACTTTCTCAACATGTGAAATAACTTTATGATTTTACTGAAAGACCTTCTTACTGACATCCTAATTGTAAAAGTTCAAAGTTCAATTGAGATTAATCGAGAAATTTGTAAAAATTTTTTGTCAAAACAAAAAAGTATTCCAGAAATACTAGTTTTGAGTACTAAAGTGGTACATAACGATGTCGAATGGCATTCCTTTACACGACAACATCGCATTGCGTGTAAACACGGCGTGTTTTAACGTTGTGTCATCTGGCGCTGCGCCAGCGCAGGCTGACCTAGCCTCGGACGAACATTCTTTTCTCCTGTTTTGTTTGTTCTTTCATAATTTTCAAGTGCAATGCAATTACTCTATAAAAATTTCGACGATAATGTAATTAACCACTTAACTTTAGTTACATCAGCATTCCTTAATTTTGAATGTAAAGTATTTATATTTATATCGATCTATGTTGCAGTAAAATTAGCATTTAAATTAATTTAAACGTGAACCTTACTGGTCGTTGTGGTTTTAAACATTTATTTACCTTTTGTTACTCAAAACTAAGCTTAGAAAAATTGTAATGTCAACATAATTTGATAGTTAGAAGCTAATGTATTTAACTCCTCTACATTACAAGTACAAAATCATACAAACATCACGAGCACGGTCATCGTTCTAGTTGTTATCCCAATCGAATTTATTTAATGCCAAAAACTTACTTTTTGCCCAAAACCATTCATAAATTTCATCGAATATCGAGCCATTGGACTCAGGAGGCCGTTTCCCCGTAAAGTTAATATTTGGTGGAACAACTTGCAAGTTCCACCTATCTGCGCATTTAGTTTTAAAACACTGTTTTTTTTCTGCTGTAAACTTCAGTAGAAAATCAAATACTTTTACAAACATGTTTTTCTTTAATTTTATCACTAATTTCTAGCATTACTTTCAGAATGCATGTAAGATAATGTTATGTGTGGTAAGGTACCTATTCAATTCTTCCTTCGTCAACTTCGGCGTCTCCGCCTCTAAAGTCGGTTCATTCTCGTTCCCCACACAAGCCACCTTATCCTCCACAGATAGAACCTTCATACTGCCCAATAACTCGAATTCAAAGTTATCAAAAGATTTCAAACTTAATCACTTCACTTTCAAAATCACAAATGGTTTGAGTTATCACTTAAATTTCAGTTCGTTTTAAATTCTCACTACATAGAAATATTATTTATCGTATTTAATATCGATGCAGGTTATTTGAACTTCTTTACCGGCCGAGTGATCGGGGCGAGCTTCGAACGCTAACTGTCCGTCTCAATATAAACAGCGCGTGTTCCTGCCCTATACCTGCCACATAGCGCCACTCCATTGCAATATCCGGCATTCCACGATATTTTAGTCAAACGGTGACGCCGCGTTTGTTTACCATTCGTGCATCTATTCTTAATAGAAAAGGCGTAATAGTGTCACCCTGCGTGACACATTACTGCTTGTTTTTGTATGGAGTACGGGTCATAATTATAATAACTTTTTTATAAAAAAAAACCTCAAAAATTTGCTCCACTTTTGTTACCGTTAATTGAAACGTATAATATGGAAGTCCTCCTCAAAACAAACACAAGGTAGCTACTGTTAAGGAGTTTCTCTCAATTGTCCGTCATTAGATCAGTTCTAGGTCACCACAACATTTTACTTTCATTGGAATTACATTTATGTGTCAAGTTTTACTGAAATCGATTAATGGAAATTGGGTGAAATTCAATTACTGGATTCCTCCAGTAATTTGCCGCTCTTGAAGATGAAACATCTTCTTCAAATTTAAATGGGACCCTTACTGAGGTAACCCATTATCAACAAAAAAAAAAGAATCATATCATCATCAATGAATAAGTAACCGCGTAACGTACACACACAAAAAAGACAGTCGAATTGAGAACCTCCTCTTTATCCTCGGTTAAAAATTGCAAACCACTCGTTAACATGCCAAATATGTAAGTTATAATTATATGTCAGACACATATTTTCATTTTCTTCCGAGTATAATTTTTTTTGTAATATCAAGTGACAGGATGGACAAGTCGTACGCCTTATGGTAAGCGACACGCCTGTCCATAACAGTTGCATTGCCACTCAGAACTTTAAATCGCCAAAATTTTAGGGGCACTGCCACTGCGCCTGTCACTCACAGTAATGCTGACATTATTGCTTGGCAGCAGAAATAGGTAAGGTGGCAGTACTTCCCTGGACGAGCTCTTTCACAAGGAGCTCTACTGCTAGTAAAACTCAAAAATAAAAATACGCTTTTTGGTTATTATGAGTATCGTACTCCAGCCGCAGTCGATGGTTGTCCAGGGTCTGCCAGAATTACAGAAAAGTAATGGCACATAGATATATAGATAAAAACTTTATTTACTTCCATGACAGCTTATTTGCATAGATCCACTAAAACTAACACAATAATAATTATTATATTGAACCACTTAAAATGACAAATTTTTATATTCAAAAGGAATGTTAAACTACACATATAACGAATTAAAGTTAATAGTTTTTGAAGTGATGGCTGAGAAACGGCGCTGGATCAGCATAAATGCCGCAGTTTCCCACGACACTGGTATTCTGCCAGAACTGTGTTTAATGAGACGCCACACATCATCTTACACAGTCTTCTGGCATTATCGTTTAATAAAATAAAGATTATATATATTCTTTTTATTTCATGTTATGAAAAAAACAACAGGTAAGTTGTGCGTTAAATTAGATGAGATCCCAAAAGAAGCGAGTGTGGTTTTCTTATTGTATCTTATTGTATTGTATAGAAACGACGACCGATTAAAATTTTATGCAAAACCTTTTTTTTAATACAAAAATGGTGCGCATATGACATCCATCTCACCTGATGGAAAGACGATAATGTCAAAGACGTAACAGGCACGCCTAAATAATGCCTACTCACTCTCGGCTTGAAAAGGTCCAAGCCAAGTTATAGCATTCAGGGAATAAATCAGCAAGCAGGGAATTCCACTCTCCAGCCGCTTACCATATAATGCTCTGGCCACACAGAGGCTCGTACATTACAAAAATTCCCGCTCCCGGAACTCTTCCGCGGCCGCCGCAGCCAGAGCAAAATATGGAAACGAAAAGCTACGTGCGAATTCTGGGAACGTCCACAACATTTAAAGAAACAAATTAATGTAGAGACGCAAATTTATGAGAGTCAAAACGTTAGTAAACAAGATGGTCACATATTTAAATGCAATAAAAGATTATAAAAAGTTATGTCGTTGAAAATAAAACACTATAAAATACAAGAATTCAGAGCCGGAGCCAATTTGCACACATTACTGTTTACATCTTCTAAACAACCGGTAAGTATGCACACCATGTTACCTAGTATGTTTGTATGCAAACGCTTCATTTTAGTAGAATAATATTAAGTATAAAAATAAGTATTCTTGATAGTCATCACAAAGTCACAAATTCTTTTATTTAGAACAATATATATACGCTTCCGTATGATGCTCAAAGTAATTTACGAGGTTCAAAACTATCGTAAAAGAAAGATTTTATACAAACGCTTGCTACCCAGCTGCTTCTGCGCACTTGGATGGCAAAAATCTTTGGTAATAGCAATTAGAGCTTCTTGTGAAAGAGTACGGTCAAGGAAAATATTACCACTTTCCTTGCGTTCCGGTTTTAAAAGGTAAGTGTACTGGTGATATTACAAACGCATAGGACTTGTCAACTTATGTCTCTGAGTGGCGGACGCAGTGGCAGTGCTTCTCAGATCTTTGCGATTTGAAGCCCTGAGTGGCACTGCAACTGTTTATGGACAGGCTTGTAACTAACCACCAAGCACATGACTTGCTCGTACAGTCACTTGATACAATATTTTAAAAAAAAACCTCTAATCCCTGTACTCGTCACAAAACACTTTACGTGCAAACGGAATATGCACAACTCTATAGAGTAGCTGATGGACCGCTAGGCTGCCTTACGAATGAGCAGCCCCATATCTTTCTGCATTAATTTTACTGCAAAACTTATCGAGCGCGCGCACAGAAACCTTATAAGTTCAGGTTCGGACCCCAGATCGCTAGTGTACAGAGTTGTCACTTGACTCCATCCGGTTCCTCGAGAAGCTAGTGCCTCGTGTGAGCCGCCCCAGGTGAACCTACAGTATCCTCCCTATTTTTCAGATAGGTACCGGAGCTGTAGGCACGCTCACTTCCCGTTGCGCATTACACAACTAACAGTTGCCAGGGCTAAGCCGTCGACTATGAGTCCACTACCAAATCTCCTCATTGGTGGCGGAGCCGCACGGCGCGCTCACTTCCCGACGCCGAAAAACGACGTTTCTCCAGTTACCAATTAGTTCAGCGGCTGGAGGAACCGGAAGATATCTAGCTAACGAATACACGAATGAGCAGTAGAGTTTAATATACTACTATATTGAATATAACTAAGACTTTAATACTATAATTAGGCTTCACGTTTCTGTACTGGATGCCTAAAAAGCGACTTTAAACTTTTCTGTGATCACTCGTGATCCATTCACACGCCAAAAGTACATTACATTAATGGAGTATTATTTTTTTCAGTTCATTTATTAGCGACACTAACATTATGTTGACAATACATTTTTATGTTGACTAAGGTGTTCTTCATTGCAAACACAGACAATTACATGTGTTGACGGCAATCTCAAAACAACATAGACAAACTAAATAGTAGACAAAAAAATGTGAGCATTACTGCGTTCCGATTTTGAAGGGACTTGGTGAAAACTCCAAACACATAGGACTTGTCAACTTTATGTCTGTGGGTGACAGCAGCGGCAGCGGCTTTCTGGTCTTTGCGATTTGAAGCTCTAAATGGCACAGGGACTGTAATGGATAGGCGTGTCGCTTCTTTTTTAACCGACTTCGTTTGTTTCTGCTAGGCGATAACTTTGTTAACCGATTTGGATGATTCTTTTTTGTTGGAAAGTGTGTACCTCGGTAGTGGTACACACTTTCCAATTTAAATTTGAACTTTTATTACTACTATTTAAAGTTGAAATTTGACTTTGTCCCATTTAAATTTGAAGAGAATGTTCCACCTGTAAATGTGGAATATTGCAAGATGAATCCGGTTTCTGGTAACCGATTTCTTCAATAAAACTTCCACAAACTTTTGAGGTGGGTTTTTTGTTTTTTTAGTACCCTGTACTGAGATTATTATGTTACCAAGTTACAGGACAAACAAGACGTGCGCCAATCTATGTGTATTATTTACTTATTAGAAATTTAGATAAAGATACTCAACTAATTATATACCTGCAGTTATATTACCGTGTTTTTCCTCACGCAACACACTAAGTACTCTATTTTAATTGACTCAGTGAATACTTTCCATCAGAAGCACTTCAAGCTGGATGTAGTTCCGTTGCACTGGAGGTGCTATTCAACATAACACAAATAAAAAAATATTACCATTAACTCATGTGTTCAGTACAATAACGAAATATAATAAGAGCATAATAAATTAAATATATATTTTTTTATACATCTGTTCACAAAATGTATTCTTAATACAAAGGAAAATTCCTTCTATATGGTAGCCGATGATGACTGATGGAGCAAACTTGTTCTTGAGTAGCGACCACATCACGGAAGACGGAGGGTAGGACGCCCTGCGCCATGGACCGGCGACGTGAAAAGAGTGGCCGGCAGCGACGGAATGCAGGCGACACATGCGGAAAATTGACGTGCTTAGGGGGACGCTTATAATATTCAATAGTGGATGCGTGTCGGCTGAGATAGATCAAACGTTGTGATGAGTATTTGTATAGTCTGTTTAAATAGTTCATTGTTAACAAGTAGATTTAACGTAGGTCTAGACAGAAATAAATTTTCACATTTATATATATAATGTAACGTGGCAGATAACGTGTGCCTGGTGGTTAGTTACAAGCCTGTCCGTAACAGTTGCTATGCCACTCAGAGATTTAAATCGCAAAGATCTGAGGGGCACTGCCATTGGCCTGTCACCCTGAGACATTAGTTGACGAGACCCATGTGCCTGTGAATATCACCAGCACCGTTACCCTTCAAAGCCGGAACACAGTAATGCTGACATTACTGCTTGGCAGCAGAAATAGATAAGGTGGCAGTACTTCCCTGCATGAACTCTTTCACAAGCAGCTCTACTGCTACTAAATATCGGTACCGAATTTTTTTTATTTCAAAATTGTCAATTACCCTAATTTTGCTTACCAATCAAAGTGAAACTAAATAAGATATAAA